ACCTTGATCATAATTAAAATATTTTTTTTACCATTTGTAAATTTCTCTATGTTTTTTTGTGTTTCAAGAGCTTCTCTAATAGAAAAAGAGGCATCTCAAAAGTGTGTTATATATATGATAACAGAAATATTTTATTTGCTTGATGTTTGATATTTCACAAGCCCTTAAAAGAGTGGTACTTGTGCCCAGCTTTGTGTAGGGAGTAGTAAAGTGTATATGAGATGATGATTCACATGAACTGGAAAAAATTATATTCTTTCTTCTACAACCACCTCTCAGTGTCTGAAACTTTAAAGAATTACTGTCTTGGTCTGACAGCAAATAAATTCATTAGCACTGAAATGATCCTGATGACTGCTGATACTGCTGAAACTCGGTAGATGGCACTCTGGGCCTAGGAGTCTACTTGCACGTGAATTAGGCTTTGTATTCACCCAACTGGAGGGAATCTTTTCAAGTCCATTTTAAAAAAAAATTACTCTTATACAAGGTGTTTCTCTTTTTTTCTCCTTTTTTTTTTCCTTTTTCAGAGAGCAGAAAGACCCAATCTTCCTGAGGGACAAAGTTACACAAAAACATTCCAAAGAACAATTTGAGACAGCTCAAAAAATAGAACAAGAGTATAACAAGTATTTTACAGGTTAGTATTTAATCAAACTTTCACTAGGAGCACAGTGGTGATTTAACCCAATTACACTGTAATTCAAAAGATCCTACATTCTTTCAATAAGCACTTGATTTTTTTTCATTCTACCTTCCCTTTTGGCAAACTCATGTTCTGTTGTTTTGTTTTACTATGAGATGAAATGTCAAGTTAGAAGTATTATTCTCTGCTTCTACATAGTTTTGTTTTGAATGTTATGAATCTTATGACCTGAAGAGATTCTGAAAATGTTTTATGATTAGTCAGTAGTATTAGAAGTATGGTCAAGATAATTTGACACAGTAATGCCAGTTTTATATCATGAAAGGAATATAAGGGTTTTTTTGTAATTTTAAAAATCAAACAAAACAACAGAGGAACGCTGTAGTTTAAATTAACAAATGATGATTTCCAACGATCCCTTTCAACCCCAACCATTCTGTGATTTTGTGATTTGTGAGACATACTTTAAATGTTTCAAGAAAGCAAAAAAATTGTCCAACATTTCTTGAGCATGCATTGTGATTTGGAATAATTAAATTCAACTTTAGAAGCCTTTTTAACTTCATAAAATGTATGAAATCAGTATTAGTTTGTAGTTAATACTGTATTTTTACCAGAGAAGGAAAACGGTGTTTGAAGACTGTCTCTGCTCGTTTCAGAGTGTATTTTCATTTGGTTCCACATACATTCAAACAGTGGGGATAAAATTCTAAGCATCTTGATGTGTATGGCAACAAAACTTAAAAAGAAAACCAAAATGACACACTAAACTAAGCCAAAATTGAACTTTTCATCCCCTGGGTTTCTTACAGAAATATTTTGAGGCATAACTGCCAAGGGTAGGAGAGGGAAAGGGGGTCAATGTAGTATGGAGCTCTCTCAGTGCATCCTGTGTGCGTTCTCAACAAAATCACTTACCTGTTTGTAATAGCCATATGAATGTTTTTTACATGGTATGTACTAAACCTTCACAGAATTTGACATGCACGTGGCCAGATTGCATCCCCATATGTTATCTTCTGCTTCTTGTTTAGTCATTTGTGGCATTTTAATTTTACCCTGATAGTGGAAGTGGCAGTCAGTGAAAGAGAGTCTTACGTGTATCTTCTCATATGCCCTGTGGGAAGGTCCTCCCTCTGTTAGTTCCAAGTACAGTGGACTCCAGCAGTCATCAGCATTTCCAGATGCTGATAGTCAGAGAGGATTGGTGTTCAAACTGCATTGACATTTAAGCTTGTTGGAGTTATAGTGTTGTGCATAAAATAAACCTGTAGATAGGCGTGTTGTACCTGGTAGCTTACTCATGGAGCTGTAGGACACGCTCTCTGACCTGAGCTCCATGACTACTTCATGAAGTACACTTTTTGATTGATGACTCTTTGAAGTTGGCTTTGTTTCCTGTATTGTGAGCACAGTGTGTAGTCTGAATCATTTCCTCCCTGCTCTTTCACCTTCCATAGACCTTGTCAGTTACTGTGTTCTATATCCAAACTCACCTGACATCATTAATTGTAGTATATATTGCAGAGTCAAATATTAGTTGATGTTACATCAAATTCTCCTTTTAAGGAAAATTATTTCTTAAGCTGTGTAAGCATTTCCATATTTTTTTAGCATTAATGGTAGCTGTGGCCAGAGGCTTTGCTGACATATTTCTTGAGTCATGAAGTTCCTCACTTTTTAAGTCTTAAAGCGAATACATTCTCCTCTCCTGTGTCAGTGTTGGCATTTTACTTTTTATGACTGTTATGTTTAGCAAGGGTAGAATAAAAGGTGTTCGTTTATCTTTTTAATTGATTTTCAGGGAGTTGCTTGCTGTTGGCCTTTTGTTTCTTAAATGTAGTTGACAATAAGAACTGGAGTAGCAACGACCGCTGTTTTATTTAGCTCAATGATCTGTGAGCTGCCTCATAATTTACTTCTAATATTTGTAAATAGTGTCTAGTTGCTACAGCTGTAGTCTCTATGTATATTACCCTGTAAATATAAAACTCTTAACGCCACATGTGGAACAGAGAAAGTTTATTATAGCAGGTTCTGACCATCTTTAGACTTAAACTTTGCCACCTGATGCCTCTGAAAATAGTACATGGAGGCCTCTTACAGAACAGTTGTCTTAGTTGATTACAGCCATTAGTTCTGTGACTTCCCTGGACTGTTTTAAGAGCTAGCAGAAGAAACTGTGTATTTAATGCTTGACCTCTTTGTTCTGTTTATTTTATTTTTTTTTTTAGTAGAGTCATGCATCTGTCAAATACTGAATTGAGTTGCTTAATTCTGATCTGTTGATAAACACTTTGCAGATAAATGCAGAAGACTGCTCTTTGTAATTAGTCATAACTGTTTGTTCCAGTCTCATTTGTGTGTGGTGTTTCTTCTTCTCCAGTCATTGTCCAGGGAGGAGCCCTTTCAAGCATTTGCACTCAGATTATGACAACTGTCAACCAAGAACAAAACAAAGTCCTGTGGATTCCAGCTGGCCCGCTGTAGATTATTGCGCTGTGAAACTACTTTGCAGATGTAAATAACCAACTAACTTTCTATCCAATGGACTCTGTTCATTTCTGTCTTTATAAAGTTATCCGTAGGTGATTTCTGTTTCATGAAGGGGAATGATAACACTGAACACACAAGGACCTGATGAGGCATGTGGGAAAGGGGTAGATCACTTCACCGAGCTTGTCTCTTACCGTCGTACGTGTACACATGACAGATTGTCACGAGGAGTTGTGACCTGTGTGTACTTGTCCATGAGTAACGAATTTAACAATGCTGCAAAACCCTGTAGAATGACAAGTTTACAAAAACCTTTTCAAAGTATTTGGTTCTTGCTGTTTACTTGAATGTCTTTTTGTTTTGTTTTGTTTTGTTTTTTTTAACTCTATGTCCTTTCACTTAATGAGGTAGCTCTCCAAAATGGAGTGAAATTTCTGAATATGAACGGTCAGTTTATAGGCAATGTGACTCTTAGTTACGATTTTGACCATTTCTAAGCACATTGTTGACTTGACAACCAGGTAATAAGGTGGGATTGAGTCGGTACGTCTTGGGAGTAAGCTCAAAAGTAAGTACACTCCTACACAGGGCAGACCACTGTTTGTATCCTGTCGATGCTTGTCTGTCAAAGATATCGTTTCTTGTTTTATGCATGAATCTAATATTTAAATGTCATAATGTATCTGAACAATCCAAGCTTAACTTGTGTCGAGAAATAATAATTTTTGGTTGTTGGGCCTGGATTAAGTACTGGTGGGGAAGAGTCATAAACTAGGCCTAGCATGCTGTGTTCTGTCACTTTTAGATACTGTAAATATGGAAAGCTTATGTCGGTGCAATTTTGCAGGGTAATTCTTAAGCTTTGTACTTCAGTGTGTAGCATTCACATAGATTGTTTTTATTTAAGAGCAGACACAGTTTTAGGGCTTTGACTAAAAGCCTTTAGAAAGGTACTAAATTGTTAGTGTTTTCACTGTCAAAAAAAAGTGATCGTTTAGTTTTGGTTGCAATACTTATTTAGCTGTTGTACCAAACTCTGTTATATTGGTTCCCTTTTTGGTTTTTTGCACTTCTGACTCTGTGTTCCTAACACAGGTTTTGTACCTGTCTCTTCTGTCTCTTGTGCCATGTTTCCTGGGTACTGTATTTTAATTGTTTTTAAAATATTATTTGAGTAGAACTGCTTCTCAGCCACTGTTTCTAACATTTCATTATGTAGAGTTTCTAGTTTTACACTACAGGCTGTAATTTTGCTTCTGTTTGCAGCTTTTATAATTAAAAAAAGGGATTCTTATTGTACAGTTCTTCAAAGAAAGATCTGGTCCTAAATTTAAATTCTGTTTTACAGTTGCTATATTATAGTTCAAAATACTCTTTATAGTATTTATATAGTTATAACTATATAGAGTATTTTGAACTATAAAAACATCTAATATATATATAGTATTTTATATAGTATTATACCATACTATTATAATACTATATATATAAATTAATAAATATGAAATGGTATCAATGAATTACTAGTCCACCTGCTTCCCATGGTGAGGGACAGAAGTTGGGTTTTGTTTATCTCATTTTTTTGTTTGTTTGTTTTTTAAAGTTTGAGATCAGAGTAGACTCCAGTGGTACAACTGAAACAGACAGGTACTGTTCTGATATGGATTTTTCTGTACTAAATGAAAATGTCACTTTGTATCAAAAAAAAAGTTAAAGAAACTGATTACTAAATAAAGGTCAATTTCTGTAACTTCACTTGTGTGTAATGGGTGCATCTAGCTCTCGATCTTCTTGACTCTTTTTAGTTGATCCCTCACATAAGGTTTAAATTTCTGACTAAAATTGGTGCACATACTTTCAAGTACCCACCTTGAGAGGAATAAGCTTCAGTTTTGTGCTTTTGTCCAGCCTTGCATACGTAAATACCAGAGACCTTCACAAACTGCAGGACACAAGAAGTTAGATGTTTGTGTTAACATCTTTTACATTCTGGCCCAGGTGTTAAGGATTTCAGATGGAAATGCAATTGATTGGATGAAGGCTTTATCTGAAGAATGAGTCTATCACTGTTATTTTCAAGAGTGTCACTGGAAACTGGGGGAAACATAGGCAAAAATGTGAATGTTAGCTTAGAGACACATTGCAGAATGCTCTGACTCAGTTTTTACACTTCAGACAGACCAGCCTCTTCTGTTCATTGAGTTACCTGAAAGCTTAGAGGGAAGGTAATTATTGTGTACTAAGTTTTCTGCTTCATCTGTTGCTTTATTCTCAGATGCCAAATAGTGAGCTTCAACATGAACCTAATTGGTGGACTGTCAGTCTTCTTGTAATCTGCAAACCTAGTAATAGCCTTCAGTCATAAGACAGGACTTGCACCTTATCTCTTTTTCTTGAAAAAAACCACTGTGGTAACATCTTCTAAGAGAGGATGAAGGAAATGAGAATAGGTACGTTTTGGCAGGTCAGTAACAGCCATACATTGCATATCTTCTACTTCACAAGGAAGCAGAACTGAAGTCATGATTGAACACTACAAAGATTCCTTCAGCTCACATCAGGAGTTTCCTGCTATACCATTTTCTTTTATATTACTGCATACTGGAGCTAGATTTGGCCCTTATTCTGGGACAAGTAGCTTTGTCCAGATGTTTTAAATAAAGAATGTAGTTATATGGGTATTTTAAAATAGTTCTAAATGATAAAGCTAGAAACACAAAGTTGAGAATTCAGCCCTTATGCTTGTAAGCCACCATTTAGAATGGATGGCTGCAGGTAAACAGTTAACTAGAAATCAGCATCTTTTAAATTTATTTCTCCATAGCTAAACTGACATAAAGTGGCTGAAGATACTTCAGCCTGTATGTATGATCTGTTGTTAATATGCTGACAAATATCTACTTGCTTACAAACTTCTGCATTCTGTTCACATTGACCTGAATTGCAGGGCAAGTGTTTGCCAGATCAGAATTACACTCTGACAGCTGCCAACTTCTCCACCTCAGACAAGGGTTCTTTTTCAGTGCCTGACAAATTTGGAGGCCATATCATGATCCTTTTTAGCGAATGCAAGCATTGCCTTAAGCAGTCTTGAACAGCTTTCCCAGCTCAATCTGAGAGGGATGTATTTGTGGTTAAAGTAAAATCTTGTAATCTTTTCTAGACTTGTGTCTAAGGCTCCATGTAATTTCTACAATTCTTTGCCTCCATTTCACAATGGACAGTTTCTATTAAAATAGACTGACATTGGAAAAATGTGCACTGGCTTGGAAACTCAAGAGACTACTGTGAAAAATACAGATACCCAGCAAAGCAGACTTAGGTATTGTGTAACAACTAATAAAGGTTCCAGAACTGCAGTAGAAACTGAACAGCATAAAAAAGGTGCTTGGCCTCTTCCTGTAAGTTTTCTTGGGCTGCTTTGTCCATGAGTGTTTCTTATTCATTTGGTTGTTTTAGAAGTTATTTTTTCCAACATTCCATCTATGTCATTTTGCTTAGAAAATGTCTTGATGTTCTTCACTGCAAAAGTAAATTTTTGATAATATTTGATAGCAAACTTTTTACCTATTTAATTTGCCTTTTTTCTCTCTTTGAATACCAAGAGATGCTTTTGCTAGCACAACACAAGTGATGCAAGCATGAATCCAAAAACCAGATGAACAGAGGATCAGTGATCAAGTGATAGGTGTGAACATACTAGCTTAACTTGGGATTGTTCAACTCTGTTTTAACAAACAATTCCTTATAAACTTTCCTAAGAGTGGGGGGTTTTTTACATTATTTGTGATTTTAGATAAATGCTGTAACTTTATATTTAAAAGTTGTCTACATGGAGCCTTTTCTTGAAGCAAATTGTGCATAGACAGCATATTGTAACTAAAGAAATTCAAAACATTTTCAGTTTTGGAAGTTATATAGACTTCTAGTATGGAAAATATTTCATTTTTTTTTTTAATATTTATTTCATCTTATTACTTAACTCATTTGAAAAACAGTGAGGAGAGATGTAATAAAGTTTTTCTGATTTCATTAGATCTCATTTAATTAAGCAGTTTTAATTATTTTTCCTTTATAGAATGCACCTGTTAATGGGGAAATGGCAGAGATCTAATCATTGTTTTAAGAAGCAAATCACAAAAATCTTTGTACTATGTAACCTAGTCATTTAATATGATGGTGAATTATCTGTCACTGCTGTGTAACAGTACATTATATGCTAAATGTGTTCACTGGGATATTTTCTATGTCTGTCATATTGAAGAAAATAGCACCAATGGCTGTGGAAGCTTTCAAAGATATGGAATCTTGATTTTATGACCCTTTTCCTTCACTGGTTCACACTATAAAGAGTGTCCAAGAGCTAGAATATTACTACTGCTAGTTAAGAAAAACAACCCAAACTGGAACAACACTCCCCCCTCCATACCCAATGCATAAAACAACCCCCTTCCCACCAAACTACACTTACAGTGTCCAGTTTGGCTTTCTTATGATTTCATGTCCTTCCTATCTTCCTGAAGATACATTAAAATTTCTTAAAACAAAGATAGTTTACTCTTAATTCACATACATACTGCATATTTCTCCAAAATTAGAAACAAGTCTGTCAAAACGTTAAATTCTTTCAATAGCTTGAAAAAATATCTGTCTGTTGATAAAATCACACTTGTATTTGCAATGAGTTTCTTTTCTTTTGAAGTTTTTTTCAGTCCAAATGTGAATGATGCTCCTTATGTAATATTCCCTATGCCCTTCCTGCAAAGGCAGGGAATGATCAGCTTTCTGAAGATGGTGACTTTGATCTCCAGAGTAAGTGACTGGTTTTTTTGCAACTCTTGGACCTCCTTTTCCTGCAGACTCATCTTATCTCATTAGCAATTACACCAATCAATTAAAATCATCTTAATTCCTTCATTTGCCAAATCTGCTTGGTCCACAGATGCTTAGCATTTTAGCTTAGCATTTCGATGCTCAAGTTATTGGGTTTTTTAAGCAAATTAAGATGGTATTTGTGGGCCACCTGTGATAAACGTAAGGTATTAGGTTTCAAACTTGTCTGTTTGGCTAGTGTAAGCAATAAAAGGCTGAAAATGCATTTTTTTTTTGTCCAGATACGTGTAAGAAGACTAAATGTGATTGTCTTATAGTTCTGTGATGAAAATAACTGTTAGTTATAGCATTTTGAGAGGGTAATTCCAGTGAAGTCAGTCAAAAGAACCTAAGGTAAGAGGTAGAAAATTGTTCTCTGCTGTGAAGATACAATTTGAGAGTACCAGCAATTGCTTGCAGCATTATAGTAACAAGTAGGTTTGTGATGCAAAGATGAGTAAGTGCAATTACTGAAGGAACCAAACACATGGAGCTGAATTCCAGGAAGGTGATAGAAGCTGCATATCCTCAGCAAACGGTAAGGTTGATCCCATGGTGGCAAATATGTATCACTTATATCTGGGGTTGGCTGAACTGTGTGGCTTTTCAGAGCTTCTGACTGCAAATGTATTTCTAGAATTCAAATGAATTATCATACTTTTATACCCTGACTTACACTGTCATAAAAAATGTGTGGTTAATAGCTGCAATTATAGTGTGATCTGTTGGGACCTGCTCTGACTGATTTTCAGTTTAATTATTTAGAACTCATTTTTCAGGGTGGTACCACATACTTTGTGCCAGAGTGACCATTTTACGGCTACAAAATAATTCAAGCGAAGTTGTAAAAATGAATTGGATATCCTCCCTCCTCCTGGCCTTACATGGCAGAGTTTCTTTCAGGGCTGCAAGATTTGAGCTTCCAGAGACACTTGAATTCCTAAGTGATGCTGACACTGCTCTGTCGTCCTGCACAGGATGTGATCAGAGCTGTCTCCTGGCAGTGTGGAGTAAGGAAGCCTGCCCTGGCTTCAGGCCACAGCTGTGCTCCTCCATGGGATACCTTGTAATGCTTCAGTCTTTGCATGAGTTAACCTTAGTGAGATGCTTACAGTCCTGGCTCCATAGGGCAGTTCTCTGCCTTCCAGAGCTGAAGTGGGATTTCTGATCAGCAGTTGCTGCTGTGTTTTTCCTTTCAGTTGTCCATTCTCTGCTATGTAACCATACACAGGCCTAGTTTTGGCAAGCGCTTCATGAAATTTTTCTCAGAATAGAAGTGAGGTTCTAGTTAGTGTGAGAACTATATTGGGGATACAATCACAAACTTTCCCCTTCTTTTACTGTTATCTGCAGCTTTAGTTTCCCTTTGCTTTATAATCTCATTATCATTAGTAGATAAATCTTCTTTCAAGGCGTGTCTCCCATCGAGTGCAACCTTCCTGTTTGCCCCATTTCCTTGCTTCATGCTTCACTTGCACGTCTAAACTCTCAAAGATATTTTTTTCCATTGCTGATGCAACTTAATCTCTCCCTTCCTCGCCCTGTTATCTAATGCTAAAGTATTTGGGGGCATTATGTAAAGTCTGTTTCATAAAGCGTACTATGCAGTTGTGTGTTAATTACTGATTTGATTTTAGACACTTGTTTTACTCACTGTTGATGATCTCGTGAACAGCAGTGGTTGATCAACTCCAGCATTCAGCAGCCTGCAATATCAGAGAATGTTTTAGAAAGGTTTCCATGTCTGCAGTTTCTGAAAGCGATGCCTTACTATGTTTCCAGCAGTGTCAGCAGTACATTTGTAAAAGAACCTACTCGGTAAGCAACAGAAGATGACTTGAGAAAGTTCACATACCTGCCTTAAGATTTTATGACCTCTGCTCACTTACAGAGGCTTCAATCTTTGAATTAATTTGCATTTCCCTCTGCTCTGTTGTGATTCTGTGATAACGCAGCACTGGTAAGGTGTGCAGAGGTATAGCTGAATTGACTTGCCGCAGATTACTAAGATCCTCAAATGGTGCCTGACCTTCACTAGAAATAAACTATTATTATTCTAATTTTAACCTGTTTTGCTGTAACTCAGGACATTACTGAAGTTACGAGAAGCCAGTTTATAAAGAGTTCCGAAATTCTGGAACTTGATAGAAGTAGCCATATTTCCCTGATTTTTTTCCAGCCTACTCTTGCCCTAAACCCTAGTTTTTATTTTACACTCTCAATACTATCAGCCATTTGAAGATGTAGGCAGTCTGTAATACACAATATGGTGAAAGAACATGAATAGTAACAAACCAGTGTTTAATGTTGCAAGTCATGGGCCCTTTTCAGTTCTTTTATTTGCAGCAGGAGCTACTCAGAAACAGAATCCTTTCTTGAAACAATTAAGACAGAGTTGAAAAGTAATTTTTTTTCTTGTCCTCAGCGCTCTCATAATGAGACTTTCAACATCTAACTCCCTTATTTTTAAAAATCTGGTGTCCAGACCAAAAGCATTTGTGGCACCTTAATACTTGTTCCTTTAAAAATACTGTTTTAACTTCTCTGCTGCAGTGTATGTACTTCATTATTCAGAGGACTTTCAGCTTTTGTTTTATTAGATGTAATCCTCAACTATTTCAATGATTTGAGCTTTATGACTTTTTGCGATCCCCTGCTATTTATGGGACGTAGTTTTTGATTCAAATAAAGGTTTGTTCCATCATAACCCATTGAGTCATCCAGCTTGATGGTGAGAAGTTGTGGTTCTATAGTCACTCCAAACTGAAGTGTCCTATTCCTCAGTGGGGGCAAAGAAAAAGTTAGGTCAACTAACCTATCCAATGTGGGATTTTCCTTTCAGTGTATATATATATTCCTGTGTTTCGTGAGTGTGCTCTTTTGTTCTCTTGTTTTGTTTTGTATTTTTAAAAGTCTAATTCTTCAGGTACTACACCCACAAGGATGTGTCCTGAAAAGCAGTGGTACCACAGATAAGTAAATGAGCAATACATGGTTTGTTAGTCAACATGAATTAGAAAAATGGCAAAATTGTTTAGAATTAAGCTGATGGGTCACATAAAAACCCAAAATTGCAATGCTCCCAAAGTTATTTAGCCTTTTGATTTTTAATATACCTGCCTTAAAAAGGTGTTATTAGCCTGAAAGCTATATTTGGAAAATGTAAAAGCACTGGAGGGGGATACTTCATTTAATAAACATTGAAATAAGGCGTTAAGTTTCATCAAAAGGAAAGCTGTTATTCTGTTTCATCTTGGCACTCACAATTTTCATGAAAATATTGATTAATTTCTGAAAAAGAAAGGACCCTTTAAAAGACATCTCAAGCCAGCTGCTGAAAACAGGAGTTAGACTATATAATTACTCACCATTAAAAGTTGTGTTTGGGAGTTTTTACTGTGTGTAGTACAGAATGTAATGATTAGAGGAAAAAAAATTATTTCTGGCATGTGAGAGAGAATAAATCTTTCCATTCCCAGTATGCTAATACAGTCAGTACAAAAGCTACAACAGATGAAAAAAAAGCACTAAAAATTATTTCTTTGGTAATACATGGAAGATGACCTGCATTTATCAAATTATTCTTTTAAAATTTGAGAAATGCTCCCTTGATGCAAACTCATATATCAAACATCTCTGACACTCTATTTATTTTTATAGTTAGAACATCTCATTTACAGTCATTTTATGCTGTATATAGCACTGATTGTTTTTCTTGCAAGATTAGGAGCAGAGTTTCAAACTGTCCTCCTCAAGGTCACAAGTCTGGCAGTAAATTCTTCTCTTGGTTTTTTTGTAAATCATAAAGCACTTCAATAACAAAAAAAGAAAACAAACCACTATAGGTTTATGAAAATCAAAATAATGTGTATTCTATGATCATTTCTTCCATAAACAGAAAGTATGGGCAGAATCAATGGTGAGAACTTGCAGCCCTAGTGATGATGTAAATCAACAGCTTCCATGCATGGCATGAAAAAACAAAGTAACTGATTCTTAAACTGATGTGTGCTGCAGTCTGTAATGCACCATCAGAGGGAATTCAAATAGTGGTGGTTCTGAAGAGATTGAAAAGTATAGGATATTTCTTATCTGTAAATTCAACATTTCTAGTGCATTAAATTCAGACACCTATTATGGGCTATTTTGTAAGAATCACTCTAAATTGATGAAGGCATACTAAGCCATGTATGGCTACAGACCTTTTGTTGAGACCAGACAATAATAATCTAGTCTCTAAAGTATGCAAAAAGCATGAGAGAGCATCAGGCTGACTGGCTTAGTGTCAAGTCCTACTTATAAAAGGTATGACTTAAAATGGAAAGCCTTTGTGACAGTTTATGCTGACTAACTTAATGCGTATAGCCTGTGCACAGAGCTATTTTCCACCTATTCGTGAATACACAAGCAAGAAAATTGGCTTTAAACATAGAGGGGTGCAGAGAGTTCTTTTGTTTAGTCAAATATTTTCCAGTGAACATTTAACCAGTTCTAATTTATGGGGAACAGATGGTTTTTCTTCATTAGTAATTGTTTTTCCAGAAGATAGCCCTGTATTAAAATTTGTGAGGATTCATGGGCTCTTTTATTTTAAGTAAAGCTCTTAGTTGAAACCACTCAATTTTTTAGAAAATAAAAAAACAATTACTTTCTCAAACCTCCAAAGCCTTGTTAGTTTATTATGTTCTGTTTTTTTTCTTAGAGGCAAAAGTTGTCCAAGGTGTTGTTGCACTCTTCCTTGGAAGGAAAATCTTTTAAGTGTCCCTAGGATGCAGACATAACAGAGGTTCACCAAAATTGCCTCTACTTTTAACTCAGGTAAGATGCAATGGCATCAGATCAAGATGTCAGATGCAAGTCCTGTAAACTCTTTTGAATCCACCTGTGTTCAAAATTGTGTCCACAATTTCATGATAATGAAAAAGTTTTGGTTTTCTTTTGGGACTAGTGAACAGTTTGATTTTTATGCCTCCATCCTTGTCCCACTAAAATAGAGACACCTTATCCCTTGCTATAGGAGCAAGAACAGGAACTGAGGCCTCTCATGTTTCAAGTATCCTGTCAGAAGCATATTGTTAAGTTCTATTTTAAGCATATTCAGTATTTTGAGTAATAAGAGCAGTACCAGGAAATTTTAACCTTAATAACTGATATGCTGGTTTGACAAGGTTTTCACAGCAGAAGTCACTGTTGTATAAGCCTTCACAGAAGCAGTGCTTTTCTCGTTATGGAAACATACATACACCTTGAGTTGCATTTTCCTTTTATGACATATTCAGAGCTCTCTTCAGTCCTTTAAGGTATATTCATACAAATTGGTGGAGGAAGCCCTCTAAGACACAAGTGTACAAAATACCACTGTCTAGTTATATTAACTTTGAGCTTTAAAAGATCCAGAATTCAAAGGTAATAGCATATTTCCCACTAACAAGATGCACGTTTTTAGATACTAGCCTCCAAAGTTAGACTTACAGAACTTCCTGTTACTTAATAAAACTACTGAGTTGCATCTTTCTTTTGTTTAGGCACTGGAGTAAGTAATACAATCATTAAGTTGTCAACAAGCTCCTCTGCCATGTGTTGCTGTCTTGTATGCAGCGTATGCAGATTATCCCAGTGCCTCCTGAGAAGTTGCTACATGTCCTTTCCTTTTGCGATCCATGCATTGGACCATGACCTTTCTCTTCTAAATTTCTTTATTCAAGTTACAGACACCTCTGTGTACAGGTTTTGAAGTGATCTGTGCCCTGTTGGCAGTGCTAACCTCTGCCATCAAAGGGCACAAGCAACAGTCTTGCCCTGGTGCGAGTAGAGTGTGGCTGCACTCCAGCTCTGCCTGCTGTGTGCTTGCTCTGTACATTTTGGGTTGCTGTTTTTGAAGGGACTGAGACACTGGCTGTGTCTTGCTTCTCTCTTCACCCTGCTGGAGGCCCCAGAACCCCTGTTTGCTACACTCTTATTTTTTCATTTGCTTTGATACTATGACTGTGCTGTAAAACTGTTTTAATTACCTGGATTTTATGGGTGCCTTACCTGTTTGTATTTGTACAAAGTCTAGCATTACAGAGAGGGAATGGGGCAGAAAGCTGTTACTTCAAACAGGAAAATAATTAAAACAAGCTTTTCAACAGTGAAGTGATCTGTGAGAGGTAGAGCACCAGATGGGATTGCACGGGCAGGTTTTTTTCTTTTGAGTTTTTTGATTCTTGAAAGGGTCTGTGTTTTATCCCAGAAGATTATAGAGTCCTTTTCATGCAGCTTAATATTTTTTTACAGATGCCTTACAGATAGGAAGTTGTATCCTGTTTCACAGATAGAAAGCTGAGAGGCAAATAGAGACCAATTTTTAAGAAATCAAGAGGGGGATGTTAAAATATGGCTAATAAAATACTCTAAATGATGCCATAAAGAGGAGAAGGATGTAGCTTAACTGGAGAACTGTTGCACAATGCTGTGTGAAGTGTCGTAGTACCTTAAGTGTGGCTGATTTCTGTGCACTCACTGAGGCAAATAATTGCTCCAGGAAATAACATTTTAGTATCTCACAATCAGCATTTCTCTGAGTTTACTCCTCACATCATTCTGTTCGTATTTCTTCTGGTCTTCCAGAATAGACTTTGAGCTCTTGCTCTAGTGCCATTGCAGGCAATAGAGTTTCTTCCACAGCTTAAAGGCAAAACTTGTTGCTGCCCGTTGTTGATGTTTAGGAATGGGAGGGTAAGGGCACAAACATTTTTTTTTTTAAATACAAAGAGACAGATGAAAGATAAATTTGGTGCTCTTTGGTTTGTGGGTTTGTTGGGGGTTCTTTTCTTTATGTGTTTGGTGTTGCATTTGTGGAGGTTTTTGTGTTGGGTTTTGGTTTGTTCTACGTTTGTGGGGTTTTTTGGAGGTAGAGATGAGTTTCTTCAAGTATAAAGCTGGGCAGTCCCACATAATTGATGTTGCCATGGCCTCCAGCCAAAGCTGGAGGAGTCATCAGTTAGTTTTAACCTGATGAAGGGCAGAGACAGACATAAATCCCCTTCTCCAACAAGATGTAAACATTTTACTTTTTTTCTTTTTTTTTTTCTTTTTTTTTTTTTTTTTTTTTTTTTTTTCTTTTTTTTCTTTTTTTTTTTTTTTTGTGACTGCTTACTTTTTCTTTTTGGGAAACTTGCAGACTGAAGGGAGCAAAGTGAAGGAGAAAGGTCTGGCCCACGAGTGCTTAGTTTGTTAATGGAGTTTGTTCAGATATACCACCATCTGGTACTAGGAGATTGGTCTTTGCTGTGCAGCCATTTGGTTGCTCCAGTTAGCATGAAATGCATTGAAATTACAGCCTTCATTTCCAACAGGTACTATGTAGCAACATCCCACCCCTTTCATTAGTCACAGAAGCGAGTCCATGACCAGGAGCTGCATGATGCAGGGCAGCTCTCCCGTGCTCTCCTCACTGTGCCTGCAAATGGTGTGTGCTCACTGAACTCCTGTGGTCAGTCCTTTCTGTCCAGAAAGAGCAGCTCTGGCTGCACAGCTGCCGGGGTGCAGCAGCCTTAAACACAAACGTGGTCTGTGGCAATTGTGACAATATGGAAGATGTTAGACTGTGTGTATTTATTGACATTCCTTACAAAGTCATTGCCCCCCTAATACAAAGGTATTAATTACAGATAGAGAGAAACAAGGTCAAGAGATGAGAGCATGCAATCTGGAATTTCCACCACGACTGATTATGCTTATGCTTATGCTTCAGCTATTAGAAGTGACAAGGTTGCACTTGTTATGTGGATGCTTGCTTCTAATTAAAGAAAATGCCTGTCCTTTAAGAACTCAAGAAAAAATAGATCCAATTTTTATCTTTACCTTAGTTTCTTAATACTCTTCTTGTGTGAATGCTAGCTTATTCATTTTCTGTGCAGATGTGGTTTGTACATTTGTTGGATGAATTAAGGACTGCATTTTTACTCACCTGACACCTTTAGAAGCAAGCTTTGCCTGCAGCACAAGATAAAATGAGCTTTGTACTCCCATCTTATTCTTTTCTTTGTCTATGGTGCATCTCTTTTCCTTATTTACTGTCTGTCTGTGTGGAGGTGCTTCAGACAGTTAATCTAGTCAGGTGAATTTGCACAAACCAAAATGGACTGTGTTGATACACTCATTCAAGAACAGAGGCATTTTGAAGTGAGTTACACTGCAGAAAGAAAAGGTCCTTGAATTCTGATTCACATTGCAAGTGCTTCAATTAAAAATAAATTCAATTTATTTTTCCCAGGTGACCCTTTGCAAACTCAAAGGACTCGGTTCTCTAAACTCCAGCATCTTGACAAAAGAATGAATCCAATCACTTTACTCTTCACCCCATTACTAATCTCTGTGGTAGCAGAAAGATATGCACAATTTCCTATATAAAAAATATCCTCTGTTTTCACCAGTAACCTTGCTGCTTTATTTGTGTTTCAGCGCTATCATTTGTACTCCCTGCCTGCCTTCCTTATTGCTCTCCTATTTATGTTTTCATTATTTACTATGGTTTGCGTATACTGGTGGATGGAGTACTATTTCTTGACGCAAGTCTTTTATGATGTTTATTGATGAGACATTTGTGAGAACAGCCTCTTTGTACCCTGTGCAGTTACCATTTGTGTTTTGCGTTAATGTGCAGCTTTCCAGAAGCCTTTCTGTAAGCTGCAGAAAATGAGACTCCCAGCTGAGAGCAGTTCAGAACATCTCCCTTTGGCATAGTAGCTGCCTTTCTGTTTTAACTAAGTGAGATTCAGTGCATATACTGAGGCTTAAATGAATAAATGCATCTGAAGCTACGCTAGTTTAGGATGAAGATCACAAGGGATATGTCAGGTGTGTGCTTACAAAGAAATGCTCACTCATAGCTGTACATATATGTCATATTTATATAATGGGAGAGTCTCCTGTCAGCCATGTGGTTTTGAAACAGTTACCTCAGTTACTGGTTTTCTATACTTTTCAAAGCCCTTGATATGTATCATGATTAGCAAAAGGTATTCAAAGCCAAGGTTGCATTCAATGTACTGTGGTGTTGGAAGATGCAGAAATAAGGAAGGAAGGTATGATAATATACTAGGTGGGGACTCAGAAAATTGTCTCCCCTTTCTGGGAAATGGAGACTTCCTTTTATTGTCCTAGGTGAGTCAGCCCCATTTGGCATTAGCTATCCCATGAAAATCTCAGCAGAGTTGAATGGAAAGGAAAAAATATCACAGCTATAATATCCTTGAACAGGCATAAATCTACCCCAGCTTGAGAAATTTTGCCCCAGATTATATATATCTTCTTCAGTGCATTTTCTTCCTGGGCCATCTAGATTATGTGGACCCACCCCCAAAGAAATAGCATTCTCTGTCTCACTTGGGTGAGGAATAACACCACTTGCCAGTTTTGTTGACTACAGGCTGTAGCTTTTGGTCCATAAGTTTGTATGACACCTTGTGGAAAGAGGTGGTGATCTCATTCATGGCCTCTGTGCAGCCCAGATAGGAAAATTTCCAGAACTGCTATACATGGAAGAAAATGTTAATGTAACAACTTTTAGACAGCATGTCTGTCTGGTGAAAGCAGGTAGCCTGGAGCTGCTGAAACAGCAATTGAGACCCAAAAATACAGAGTGCTATATGTCGGTCACAGAAAAGCATCCAGTTGAGTCTCAACAGTGAAGTGACGTAAGAGAAGCAGTGGTTCTCCCTGCTCTCCTCCCTGCCCTGCCTTTCTGGTTTGAGTTCTTTGGGATCCCATAAGAATGGTCAAATGCATTTTCATTGCTTGTGAAAATGCCTTACTACCAGCCTGTCTGTTACAAAATTTCAGCAAACAAGTACACAGCCTCTGGCAAACAGACTTTAAAACCAGAGAAAAAACAAGTGCCACAGTGCAATTTCTGATTTATAGGGAGTAAAACTTTGCGTTTTTCAGACACACATAATACATAAATAGATAAGTTGTAGAAAATTGACTAATGAAATTAATATAAATGTATTTAGTACAAATTTTCAAGCACTTCAGGCGATTAATTGAGTCTCTCTGCCCGAAGTTTTGACTGTACAGATAAATGTATTGGTTGCAGAGCAAAAGTATCCCCATTCAGTCTTCCCCAGTAAAGAAAATAGCATTTAGTGATGTGGGAGTTGATTTTTGGAGTACTCAAAGCAGTGAGGGCTGAGGTCAGGCCTGCAGCAATAAGCTTTACTGCCAACTGCTGTCAGGTGGCAATATTGACAGCTCATAGCATCACTAGAATACACATCTTTTGGCTGCATCTGCCAGCATCATGAACTTCTCACAAAGATGTTTTATGTCTGCAGAAGCTGTAGGAGTGTGCTGGAAGGTGCCCACAGCTCTCACCTGTTGACATTGCTGTTGTTCTGGCTGATGCCAAAGCGCTGCAGTGCTCAGGGAAGAAATCCAAGTGGTAGAAAAGTGAGCATTGCCACTTGAGTGAGGGAAAACCTACAGTGAAGGAAGGGCATCCATGTTCCAAGAACTTCCTGAGACAAATGAGCACAATTAGATTATATGCCTTGGGCATCTTCTGGGTAGTTTTGGACAGTAGATGTTTATTTCAGGGGATGCTTCCTCACCAGGAAACCCAGGGCATTGCAGGAAGAAGCACCAAAATTGCTGTACCCAGGTCATGCCTGAGCTCAGCCTCCAGTCTGGCCATGGGTGCAGATGTCTCTTACTTCGGAGGGCTCCTATTGCTTATTTACTTTTATTACTGACAGCTGCTTTCTTCTGCAAGTATGATATCCTGGCCTGATATTCTGGCCAAATTCTAGCTATAATCCTTACCGCCTGCTTGACTTAAAATAGCCCATACATTAAAATGTGTCATTTCTCTTCTAACTGAATGTGGTGTTTTTAAACAATTTCCATTTTTCACCCCAAATATGGCTCTTTCAGCTTTCAATGTTTCTCTATTTCTAGCTTGTTAAAGCACTTGGAAGGCATTATGCCTTGCATACATAAAGACAAGCTATTATAAATATTTAGCTAACTAAAGCATTTGTGATTTTTTTAACTTCTAAGTTAGAAGTAAATGGGATACTTGTAAAGTCTCTTGCATTTTTTACAGAAAGTTATCTATAAATCTTTCACAATAGTTTGGGACTTTTCACGGTGTATGTGCCAAAATACATCCTACCTCAGTACCACTGGGATTCAGAAACTAGACAAAGTGTCAGAGAGACTAAAACAAAGACTCGTGCCTGGAATATTCCTGAAAGAATCCGACAAGCATCAGTGCTCTGTGACTGAGCAGTGCTGGTTGGAAAGGATCACTCAGTAAAATAGTTTTCCTTTTTCTTCAGGAAAGGAAAGGTATTCCAGTGGAGCCTCTGTTTATGTTTTCCTTTGTGTTGAAAGTTCTGGGTGATCCCTAGAAGGTCGTTTAGCCTCTCTAGGCTTTGCCCTTAGGCTATAAAATAGGAGTATTGATACATCCTTTCTGCATGGAATCATTTTCTGGATAAGATTGCGAGGTACTTAAATGCAATAGTACTGGCTTCTGCACAGTAACTGGATAAATTTTCCTTAAATTGTTTGATTAATATCCTGTTAACGCAGTTCAACAAGTAACTGAAAGTACATTTTGTCTCTGTTTTAAGAAAATGGAGAATTTTATCTATGAGCAGTATTCTCAACAGTATTTTAGCAAAGAGGTTTGAAGAATGTTTGTGAAACAGCTAATCTTAAACAAATAGAAGTATTTAAAGAAGGCAAATGTTGAACTCTAAGACACAACTATTTGCAAAAGGAGCCTGGTTTCACTCAAAGTAATGGAAACAGCTCACATGAGCTATTTATTAAGTGGTTTGCAAGGCTAGGGTTTAAAAAAAATTAAATTGCTCAGTCTTTAGGCCAAAAACTTATTGCAGAAATTACTTAGAGAATATTAGTTAGTGTTAAAATCAGAAAATGTTCATGAGCAATTCATAACCAAAATATTTTTTCTAGTACATTTATCTCTGGGACCAGTATTACTGTCTAGATGTTACTTTTACCTTGCAGTCAGGCATAAAGAAAGGAACTCTGGAGAGGGAAATGTTCAAGATTATTTTATTTTAAGAATATGGAAAAGTTCCACTGTAAAAGTCTTTTTTGCTTTTCAGATCAGGTTTAGGCCATAACCAACATACCCAGGATGCCATGAGCACTGCTCAGTCTCAAAGCCATCCTTATCTGCCCCATTGTGCTAAAGGCACCACAAACCACTGGAGAAAGCATTACACATTTCCATCATGTGTTTTTATTTTGTTTGGACTGGACTTAAGATATGCCTGGATGTGCTTTCAAGAAGCTGTGGCTTTTATACTTTTGCATCGAGACTGACCAAAACAGATAATTTATGTCTTGTAGAGCTGATGACTTAGCACTTTCCCAGTTAGAGCTGGAGCCAAGCACTGCAGTAATTATTTTGCGGTTGATTTCTGAGACCTTTGGAAGCTCAGCGTGGGGATGGGTGAGGCACAGAGGCAATGCCGCAGAGGCTCTGACAGAACAGCCAAGGGGGTCACCGGCAGTTCACACAAACTCTGAAGCTCACCAAAAAGAATTGCCCATTCTTTTCCAAAAGAAACTTCCAGTCTGTGATGGAAGTGAACTGATCTTCCTCTGTAGAAAGCAGATGAAAACTATAGCACATGTATAATTTGCTGAAAAGATGTGCTAAAATCATTGCAACTTAATACATCACATTTTGCTGCTCCTTCCAACAACTGAAGATCCACAATCACATTATTCAACAGCTTGGGGATATCTAAATCTGCTTTTCACTTTTAAGTGTCACTTCTTGGTTGTTCTGTTAAGCCCAAAAAATGAACTGAGATGAAATATATTTCAATAAGGAAAAAAGGTGACGTGCACAAGGGAGTCAAGTCACTGCTCAAACTCAGGGGGTATATGGAAACTGCCTAGTAACTGTGGTGTTCATCTCTGTCTAGATTTTTCCCTAGCCCTTTTCTGATTGGGAGAAGATGAAAAGAAGGGAGAAGCAGTTTCTAGACATATTTGCACATAGGAAATAGTTGCCTGCCTTTCTGCCTCTTATGATGCTGTTTTGCATTATATTACACAGTAGTTCTGCCAGTTTAATTTGTCCCATAGTTCTCTTTAGTCATTTTTTGGCAATGTTATTTCTTTTATAACCTGACAACTTTTAAAGTAGTAGTTAAAATAAAGCTTTTCTCTAATTAGATAGAATGTGAGCCACTGCCTCCCTCCTCTTCCTCCAAGTCACTCAGAGTCAGCTCCCATCCTGAGTTAATGCCCTGCTGACCTGTGTGCAGCAACCCTGTGAGTATCCTAACACTGATTATGAACAACAGTTTGCAGGTACTGTGTATGTACTACTCAGCATGTCATCATGACTGATGGAGTTTTTCAAATGTCCTTACAAGCAGCACTGTTCAAACCTCACCAGGGTTACCTACCACAGTGCCATGGTAGGAAACCAGGTATTGACATGGGATGATAACTTGTAACAGCACCTACAAAAACCTTGAGATACACATTAGTATCATAAATTATATTGAGAAGGCTTAGAGGAACAGCTTCATGTGTAATCTAAAACAGTATATGTATATGTATTTTCTATTTGTTGCAAGATTTGAGATATGCTTTGGCAGCACCCTGGTGAAAGGATCTGTCCACTAAGAATTGAGCTGCATGAAATGCTTTGAGAAGCCAATAGTGCCTCTTACTTTTGAAACAGATCTTTCAAAATGTCAGATGCAATTTCATGCATTTTAGGATAATGCAGGGTCTGGAAATCAAACTGTGAATGAAAAAGTCTTGAACTGTCTCCATGGAAGTCTCTACTAAAGTAGTCCAACTCTAAATATAAGGAAAATAAAAAAAAAGAGAAAGCTACTTAGTGTTGTCATTTCAAAGTCACCTCATCTCAGGTGTATATTTCTTTTCTGATGCAGAACTATCTGAGCCAGAATCAAAAAATAAAAGTTGCCGTCACAAAACCCATCTCTTTTTGCCATATCTAGCAGAATACTCTTCACTTTCCTGTCACCAATTCATTACTTCACTTCCCCTGCTTCCCACTGCCTATAAAGCCTGGCTTCTAGGGATACGTATACATTGAGTGGCATACTTGGAACTGTCTTGGTGTAGTACAGTTTATTCATAGTCTTTGTGTTGGATTTAATGACTGATCTGCATTGCTGCCTTGTTTCTTTATACCAAATTAAGCATTTTAGGGTTTTTAAATTTTGTTTGTTTTCAAGTCCATCCTCCCATCTAGAGTATTTGCTTCTGTTTTTCTAATCTGGAAATCACAGTCTCATTAATCTGCTATACTTGATCCTTATTTCCATTGACTTTAGCTATAATTCCTCTATTCTTGAGCTTTCTGTATGACCCTCCTTGTCCTTAGTCTGGGAAGATCTGGTAACTTGTTCATTTTCACTCCTAATCATGTCTGAGCAGTCAAATACAGGCAATGGTTTATCTTTTTTCCCTTTTCATAAAGTGTCTTGGTAGGTATTGCAGCAACCAAAGACTGGGTAGGGGAGGTTTTAACCTATTCACTCCAGAAGTATCACATTTTGATTCTTCTTGTGGCAGATATTTCTCTGTACAAGGATACACTTTTGGAGGGGAAGGCATGCCTATTTGGCCACTTAGCTAACGTAAGTGACTTCAAGCTAAGAACTAGATATGCTTTCCCCAAGTTTTCCTTTGGTTTGGGTCTATTCAGTTGAAGATTCCTTTCTTTTCTTTTGGGTTTATTCAGTTGAAGGTACCACAAGCAGCCTTATGTCAGCCATCTTTGACTGCCCCAATCTAAGAGGACTAAGACATCAAAGTTTGTTCATTTTTCAAGTCATGATGACCATTCCATCTCAGGTCTCTTTCTTACAAGTTCTCCAATAGCTTATTTCCAAAATTATCTCTCTTGCTGACAGACAGGACAGCAAGAACAAATCTCTTTTCTTGGTTCAAGGCCCACCATGTAATTTTTTTTCTGACCCTCATGTTGCAGACAATTTCCTTACTTCCTTTCTTGGTGGTCTCCTTCCTTGTGGTGTAGTTCCCACAGTTTCTGCTGGCCGGTAGCTCTGAAATCTCCCCAGTTCCGAGATGGTGTCTGTCAGGCTCCTGTCTCTGTCTCCCACAGTGGAATGTGAGTGAAGACCCCTCTTTAACTCCTCCTAAGCCACTGCTCCCCATGGACACAGACATCACCTCTTACCATCTTCTGGTTAACAAGGCAACCCCCAAGCTCTCTGCGGACACAGAGAACTGCTGTTTTCAGTGCTCAGCTGGACTTTATCTCCTACACCTGTTCTCTGACAAACATGGAAGTGTGCTTATGCTTACTAGTGACCTACCCATTATAGCTCTTTATGCCCTTTATTATGGCACTTTAATGGCTTCCATCTATCAAAATATAGCTGAGAATTCCTACTCTTCCA